ACCACACTCCAGCCTGTGTGACAGAGTGAGACCTTGTCTCAAAAAAAAATTTTTTTTTAAAAAGGACTCTTACCATTTCCATTTCCTCTTAATATAAATGACATTAGGTAGCATTACTCCAATGGTGCTGTAACCACAGGAAAGAGTAGGAGATGATGCAGCTGCAGAGTAGGATGATGCATTACATTACAATTTGGAGTGTGAAGAAAAACCCAGAAGAAATGCTGACTTTCAATTCTCCTCCCTCAACTAAAGAAACAGCCATGAATGCAAATGACGCAGCTGGCATCACCTCACCTGGACTCCTTTCTGAATGCAAGAATGCCCTTTTAGGGGCTGAAATATGGACAGTGTGAGTTAGAATGCATGGGTTCAAATTCAGGCTTTATGATTATTATCTGACTGTCCTTGAACAATTTAGTTGGTCTCTCTGTGCCTCTGTTTCTTTATCCGAGAAATGGGAATAATAATAGCATGCATGCACCTCAGGGGTGCTTAGGAGCATAAAATGGGGATAACACCTATAAAGCACAAAGAAAAGTGCCTCGCATGTAGTAAACTTCATTGCTGCTGGCCATCATTTATACATTGATATTATCTTTTTTTTTTTTTGAGACAATGTCTTGCTCTGTTGCCCAGGCTAGAGTATGGTGGCAAGTTCATTGCTCACTGTAGCCTTGACCTCCTGAGCTCAAGTGATCCTTCGCCTCAGCCTCCTGAGTACCTGGGACTATAGACACATGCCACCATGCCCTGCAATTTTTTTTATTTTTTGGAGAGACATGGTCTCCCTATATTGCCCAGGCTGGTCTCAAACTCCTGAGCTCAAGCAGTCCTCTCACCTTGGCCCCCCAAAGTGCTGGGATTATTTTTATTCAGCAAGTTTGAAATCTTTGGCAGTGTCCTAGCTGAGGAGGCATCCAGGGAGTTTCTGGGCAGACTATTTAACTGATACTGTGAAAATCTGCTAACCGTGGTTGTTTTTCTTTCTGGGAAGCAGGTTCCTTGTCCGGCTGCTGTTCTCTCCTGGTCACGTGGGCACACTATGATTTAATCATTTCTAGGAAATCTTGGATATTCTTGGATTTAATAATAAATTCATTACTAATGATCACACTTTGGAACATGGTTCCCCTACCTGTGACGTACTAAGAAACTAGAAATGTATTCAGCATCTACCAAAACTCTCTTCTTCTTCTCCTCCTCCTCCTCCTCCTCCTTTTTTCTTCCTCCTCTCCTTCTTCTTCTTCTTCCTCCTCTTCTTCTTCTTCCTCTTCTTCTTCTCCTCCTCCTCCTCCTCCTTCTTCCTTTCTTCTTTCTTCTTTCTCCTCCCCCTCCTCCTCCTCCCCCTCCCCCTCCCCCTCCTCCTCCTCCTCCTTTCTCCTTTCTCCTTTCTCCTTTCTTCTCCTTTCTCCTTTCTTCTTCCTGACAAGGTCTCACTCTGTAGCCCAGGCTGGAGTGCAGTGGTGCAATCACAGCCTTGATCTCCCAGGCTCAAGCGGTCCTCCCTCCTCAGCTTCCTGGGTAGCTGGAATTACAGGTGCGTGCCACAATGTCCAGCTAATTTTTTGTAGTTTTTGTGGAGATAAGGTCCTCCTGTCTTGCAGAGGCTGGTCTCAAACTCTTGGCCTCTCCAAGTATTGGCATTACAGGAGTGAGCCACTGCACTGGGCAAAACCCTCTCTTAGTGGAACACACATCTCACCTTCTGGAAATCTCTGTTTGGCCCAGTGCATATTTCTTTCTTTCTCGTGACTAACATTCTGCTTTTTTTTAGTTATTCACATATACAAACTGACTAATAATAAATCTGGGAATTTGTCATCTAAAAAATTGCATGTTTCCAACACAATCAGCAGTCCTCAAAAAGTAAAGACAAGTTTACATTTCTTTGGTGAAAGTGGAGGAACGCAGGGACTAGGGCATCATTTTTTAAAAAGTATTTTCAGACAAATCATTCTCTGAGAGACTTAAAAAAAGAAAGTGTCAGTTATTTGAGGTGCACCCTTTTGCTTCTATTCCATTTTTATCATACCAATCTCTCTTGCAAAATTGAGGTTATTCATATTTTCCTTCCAAACTGTGGGAAATAAGATGTGAAGTTGGCCCTTTGATAAAGTTAGGTTCAGGGACTGCTTATCATTGGAACAATGAGCACAAAAGCGATTCAGTCCTGGGACCTCTCACAAAACTCAGCAGGCCAGGCGGTGCTCATTCTTGTTCTCAGGCATTCCAGGGTAGTGGCAGAGGCATGGCCAGCATGAGACATTTTCAAGATTCTTTTTCCCCACCCTTTAGAATTGGTAAGTCTCCGATCGTTCAGAAAAGGATTTGTTTTGTAAGAACCCGACGTGTCACCAAGAACTATGTTTACCCATAATAGTCCTTGCTGTCTGTTTAACATAGCCAGATGGACACTGCTATTTGGCTCATGGTCACATCCCCACAGATTTGACCTCATTTAGAAGACACTATTAAAAGATTATCCCATTATTGAGAATTTCCATTGCATCAAATACTAAATATTAGCAACATTCCTCTACAGGGAAAATGATGTAAGAAGAGGGTAGGACTGTGTTGACCTCAGGCAAATCACAGGGATAGGTATGTGGCAGTTATGAAACTCAGCACTGACTAATAAAGCCCAGGGCACACAGAGTAAAGGTCCAGGGGCAGAGACTTTCCCAGCAGCTCTCAAAGGAAGTGTTCAGGTTCCTATGAAGCCATAGATGGAAGTCTTATTTGACTCTGTTGCCTTAGTACCGAGCTGGTTATTTTGAAAGAGGCTAAGGAGGAGAAAGTGCATGTAGCAGGATGGCAGAATAGGATGATGGGATGTTGAGATAATGGAATGTTGGGATGATGGGATGACGGAATGTTAGAATGATGGGATGATAGGATGTTGGGATGATTGATGGGATGTTGGGGTGATGGGATGATGGGATGATGGGATGTTGGGATGATGGGATGATGGGATGTTGGGATGTTGGGATGATGGGATGATGGGATGATAGGATGTTGGGATGATTGATGGGATGTTGGGATGATGGAATGTTGGGATGTTGGGATGATGGGATGTTGGGATGTTGGGATGATGGGATGTTGGGATGATGGGATGATGGGATGTTGGGATGATGGGAATGGGGTCATGAGGGGGTCAGCTCCATTTTCTTCTTTACATTTACACAATGGGGAGCACAAGGCTTTTCTTTTTTTTTTTTTTTTGCCACCTTGGAAGCCAAATGATGCTCATGGGAAATTTAAAACTGCACTGGAAGGCTGAAAGTGATTTGAGAATCAAGACCTTAAGAAATAGTTCTAATAGTAATCTATGTTTTTGAATGTTGCCAGAAAAGGTACTTGAAAGAGGAATGAAGGAAGCAGATTCTAATCAAAGAGGACTGGGAAGACATTGGGACCCAACAATTTGATAAACTAGACAAAATTTAAACTTTTAGTTCTCATTTTACTTGAATACACTTTAAAAACAATTGGTTAAATTTTATTTTAAACTACAGGCTGGGCACAGTGGCTCATGCCTGTAATCTTAGGACTTTGGGAGGCTGAGGCAGGTGGATCAACTGAGGTCAGGAGTTCAAGACCAGCCTGGCCAACATGGCACAACCCTGTCTCCACTAAAAATACAAAAATTAGCTGGGTGTGGTGGTGGCACTTATAGTCCCAAGTACTCAGGGGGCTGAGGCAGGAGAATTGCTTGAATTCTGCCTCCCAGGAGGCAGAGGTTGCAATAAGCTGAGATCTTACCACTACACTCCAGCCTGGGTGACAGAGTGAGACTCTGTCTCAAAAAATAATAATAATAAATAAATTACAAAGTAGTACACGATTAGTGAAAGAAAGTCAAGCAATACAAATGTATATAAAATAATAAGAAAAAAAATCTCCCTCCTTGTTTGTCAAACAGGGTCAAATACTATTATAATCTGGCTCTTTCAGAACTTTTATGTATTTGAGACAGGGTCTTATTCAGTTACCCAGTTGGAATACAGTGACATGATCATAGCTCACTGTAACCTTGAATTCACTGTAACCTTGAAATCTTATGCCCTAGACATCCTCCTGCCTCCCCCTCCTGAGTAGCTGAAACTACAGGTGTGTACCACATGCCTGGCTAATTTTTTTTTCTAAGAGATGGGGGTCTCACTACATTGCCCAGGCTGGTCTCAAACTCCTGGCCTTACGAATCCTCCCATCTCAGCCTCTAAAAGTGCTATAATTGCAGGTGTGAGCCACTGTGACTGGCCCTCTTTCAGAACTTTAAGAACACTATATATACTATAAATGTGTTTTTGAGGTGGAGGCTGTTTTATGAACTTTTTACTTTTTAAAAAATTTCTACTCTTTTCAAGGTGGGTATTTGTTGTTTTAAACAAAGTGAAAGGGAAAATCCTGTATCTGAAGTATTTAAAATATTTTTCTGGGTATGCTATACTTACCAACATGTTTTATAAGTTGCTTCTAAATGTTAACCATACTAGATAGCGGTCCATCTACCAGGATAAGATAGGATAGGTAAGAAGCTAAGAGACATTCTACAGGTAAAAAAGCAAATTTTATAAGGCTATGTTTAGTATAATTCCAATTATATAAAATGTATATATGTATGCACAGAAAACAGTCTACGTTATAGACACTGGAGTGCTAATGGCTCTTATCCCAGGATGGCTGGAGTATAAGTATTTTTTCCCATTATATTTTTCCTGTGTTTTCGACAATGAACATTTATTGCTTTTAAAATTAGTTAAAATTAATGTAATATAAAAATCACAATGTATCTGCTGAAAAACATTTGTGTCCAAGGCTACAGAAAATAAATTCATCTAAGTTAGCTTCCACCCCATTCCAAAATCCTGAAGTAACAGAGTGGAAATATCAGGGTCTTGTTTTATTTTCTTAATGAATTAGATTTAAGTTCCCTCATTATGAGATGATAATCTTTAGCATCATTCAAAGAGTTAATAAATGAGACCAAAATCAGGAGATCATATTCCTTTATTCCATATATGAAATATAAAAACAAATTAACAAAGCAATATATATATATTTTTGCAAGTCCACAGGACTTCAGGAAAAAAATCTGTATGTGAAATTATTCATATGGCACTGTGTTCATGTTTTGTATATTCAAGTACAAAAGAAACTATGTATCGTGGTTATGCATGGGTACAGAAGATGAGTAATAATGAAAAACTGTAATTTGTTGACTATCACATTGTGTTTAAAAACAGGTAAATATAATGACTATTAGCGTTAAGAAAGACAAGGAAGAAAACAGTTTCAATATTCAGGTTTAAATACTAAGCACAAAAATATAACAAATTCTGTGTCTACAATAATTTTTGAAGTATTCAAGTGCATTGCAAATGAGCTTTTTAAAATTTAAAGTCCACTTCCCCTTTAGCCAAGGATAGGTCTACATTTATGATTTCTTTCTCTTATTTTAAAGACTTTTCTTGCTTAGTTTTAAAAAAAGTTTCCTCATGGCTGTCATCTTGGGATCTAGCCTCCAGCTGAAAGCTGAGACTTCATGCATACATATTCTCCTTGCTGGTTGCATCTTCACCTGGTTTCTCCAAGTCTTGAGAGTTAAATAGCTCAACTTCCTGCCTATGGTCACTTTTGTCCACACGTGCCAGCGCATCTGCTTCCGCAGGCTTCCTCACACACCCTTTTCTGTGAACAGCAGCCTCCAAACGTTCACAACACAAGTGATAGGTAGTAAAGTGCTTTATACAAGGAAACACTATATACACATGGAGAGGTTCCATTGAACATCTACAGAACAAAGTTCATGCATAACACACAAAAGAAGGTTCTTTTTTACATTTTCTGATGGCAGGGTTGGGGATTCCTTAAAACCTCATTCATTACCTTAAGTAGCATCAAATGTAAAGTAGCTGAAGCTGGAAGGAGCTCCTCGTTAGAGGTATTGCCCTTAATGGATTACTGCTAAATGTCATGCTGCTATTAAAATATTCTTAAGAGTTTCAGAATCAGTCCCATAGAAAACATGTCAGTGTAGGGGTTTTCATTTCTCTTTATGAAATAAAACTGTATTTAAACATGGGCCCAGAAGCGATGGTAGATGAGACCCATGCATTGAAACATTTCTATATATTTTGGCACTTTAAAAAATTCCAGTTTCCTTTTTGAGGTTTTCTTGCTCTAAAGTTTGTGTTTTGTACATAGGGAAGTGCCATTATGTGTTATCCATCTTAATGCTGTTTGCACTCTCTTTTTAAAATATCCATGACTTTTCTTCCAAGAGAAGGTTTCCAGTGCTGGACAAAGCTTTTCATATTCACAATTAGTTTGCCTGTTCTTACATCCTCATGTCCTGCTACAAGGTATTCCAAACCTAAAAGAGAACACAATTAGGGGCTATATAGTATCATACTTTATTGAACGGAGAGATGCGACTCTAGCAGGTTTTCTTTTGTATTTATTTTGAGACAGGGTTTTGCTGTCATCCAGGCTGGAGGGTAGTGGCATGATCCTGGCTCACTGCAGTTTGACATCCTGGGCTTAGGGGATCCTCTTGCCTCAGCCTCCCAAGTAGTTGGGACTACAGGTGTGCACCACCATGCCCAGCTAATATTTTCATATTTTTTGTCGAGATGGGGTTTCATCATGTTGCCCAGGCTGGTCTTGAACTCCTGGACTCAAGCCATCTGCCCACCTCAGCCTCCCAAAGTGCTGGGATTACAGGTGTGAGCCACCATGCCTGGCCGACTCCAGCAGTTTTATATATTGATAGTTGGAATAAGAAGGGACATTAATAGCTGCCATTTAGTAAGTATTTACTATGCTTAGCACATGTATGCTTTACATGTATGATCTCATTTAGTTTTGAAAATAACCCGTGAAGTAGGTATTTTTTTCCTTCTTGTTTTGCAAATAAGGAACTGAGGTTCAGCAAGACTAAGAAACTTGTTCAGTATCTTTTTGTAAGTAACAGCACCTGGACTCAAACTCAGGTCTTTCTGATTCTAGAACTTTTCCTTTGTCCTATACCACACTCTCTGGCAAAGAACCGAGGGTTCTAAGGACACTTACCTTACTGCTCTAGATGAGTATATCTTGGAGACTCGCTGTGTATGGCAGTGTATATTAAGGAGGTGTTTTTTGCTTTTTTTTTTTTGGATGGAGTCTCGCTCTGTCGCCCAGCCTGGAGCACAGTGGTGCCATCTTGGCTCACTGCAAACTCTGTCTCCTGGGTTTAAGCGATTCTCATGCCTCAGCCTCCCAAGTAGCTGGGATTGCAGGCATGCACCACAAGCCTGGCTAGTTTTTGTATTTTTAGTAGAGATAGGATTTCACCATGTTGGGCCAGGCTGGTCTCGAACTCCTGACCTCAGGTGATCCACTTGCCTCAGCCACCCAAAGTGCTGGGATTACAGACATGAGCCACTGCACCCAGCCTAAGATTTTTATAAAAGTAAAACAAACATTTGGGAAAACAAATTGGAAGGAAGCTATGGATTATACAAAATAACACATATTCCCTATATAAAGCATATGTGTTTTTGAAATAGGATATTTGTCATATATTTTAAAAAAAACTAAATGAATGATAAAACGACTAGATCTCATGATGTCTTTGTAATTCAAAATTCTTTTCAGGCTTTAGATAACAAATTTTAGCTAATACACCCAAGAAATTAAAGGACAGTCTTATTACCTATAGATTAGTAAAAAGAAATATAATTGCCTTCAGTTAACATTTGTAATAATGTAGATTTTGGTATTTAGGAAATTTTTTTAAAATTATAGGATAAATAAAATAATTATGTTTATAAAATAAAAACTTTCCAGTCGGGTGTGGTCGCTCATGCCTGTAATCCAAGCACTTTGGAGGCCAAGGCGGGCGGATCACCTGAGGTCAGGAGTTCAAGACCAGCCTGACCAACGTGGTAAAACCCCGTCTTAAAAAAAAAAAAAAAAAAAAAAAAAAAATTCCAATGTAAAAGAGACAGACATACTTTTAAAAATTAAGTGATTGCTAGAGGCTAAAATTCAACTGAAAATATCAACTTAAACTTTAAGTTGATTCATTGCTTGTTTTTCACTGAAATTACAGAAAAAAATGTCATCCCAGTAGTAAAGAACACCTGTAACAAACATACTGTGGTCTTTAATAACATGTTTCATTAACACAAGACAAAAAAAGGCTTCTTGGAAAATGGCTTATTCCAGGTTCACGGCAGGAAGTTGAGCATGGGACATCTTATTTTGTTAAAAAACAAGAAAGCTTTCAAAGATAAATGTGGGTCTTTTTAAAAGGACACAGCAGCTAGCAGGAAGGGGTTATAACTTGTCAAAGCTGTGATAAGTTGAGCACCAAGAAACATAACAATTGTGTGTATGAAACACATTAAATCCATAGAAATCCATAATTCTGAAATGATGCTAAATAATGAGAAAGCCAGGGAAAAATTAATTTGTCATCTTTAGAAGCAGCTGTTAAAACCACTTCTTATGTTGAAAATTAGAAATTATAGGGAAAAAAATGTAGCATTTATCCTGTCTTTACAATAAGAACTATATTTCATGGTAACTTAATCGCCCAGCTTGGGAGAAAAAGCCCTCTTACAGAAAAGTGCCAGCAAATAAAAGAGGAGAATTAGAAAGAATTAGAAAAACATCATTTCTTGGACTCTAATGAAATTATTGATTCAGGAAAGGATTACCAATTGGCAATAAAGTCATAACACGAATGGTTATTGGAAAACTGGATACTTGTATATATAGTGCTACGTAATGCCACACTCATTCTTTTCTATCTCTAAAGGTAAAACAAAATTTTGGCAATGGAGAGATCAGACTGCCTTCAATGTAACCCAAAGGTCAACCTTAGAGACAGTGACGGGAGGTTATCCAGGTACCATGTGCATTCTACATGATTCAACATGAAGCACACAATGATCTCTAAAATGGATTCTATCTAAAATGTTTGTCTTGAATCAATCAAGCCTTTCTTTAGAGATTACAGGAGACAGAACAGATAGAGGAACAAGCTAAACACCACCATAAACAAACCACACAAATGTTGACGGTCAGATAATGGACAGGGCATCTGTCCTGGTTTCCTCAACAAGTCATAAAAAAGGAACTGTGCTAGAATAAAAGAGACTTGAGGGACTGAAGAACTAGATGTAATGTGTGATCCTGGATTGAATACTGGCAAGGACAAATCAGCTCTAGAGGACATTTTGGGATCATTTGGGAAATAGAAATATAACCTGAGTATTAGATAGTACAAAAATAAACTGAAATTGAAGGTAAAGCTTATTAACAGAATAATGCAGGTTACAGAATGGAGCATATACTATGATATCATTTTGGTTAAAAAATATATGCACACAGAGGAAGACTGGAAAGGATTTGTATTAAGCTATTAACAGAGATGATCTCTGCGGGATAGAAATGTGAAATTTAAAAATTTCCCCTAAACACCTTCCCCTGCTCCCTTTATCCCTCCTTCCCTCCCCTCCCTTCCTTTTTTTTTTTTTTTTTTTTTGACAGGGTCTTACTTTGTCACCCAGGCTGATTTGCAGTGGCACCATCTCAGCTCTGTAGCCTTGACCTCCCTAGGCTCAGGTAATCCTTCCCCTCAGCCTTCTGAGTAGCTGGAACTATAGGCTCATGCCACCACACCTGGCTGATTTTTGTATTTTTTGTAGAGATGGGGTTTCGCCATGCTGCTGAGGCTGGCCTTGAACTCCTAGGCTCAAGCAACCCACCCACCTCAGCCTCCCAAAGTGCCGGGATCACATGTGTGAGCCACTGCACCCTGCTAAAAGATTATTAAATGAAACTAATCCTAAACTTTAAAAAAAGCTATTACGGTGTTTTCAGAAAAGGAGAAAAAGGAAAATAATGACAGAGAGGTTTCTAACACTGGAGAGTACAATGTAAAATGAATGAAAAGGCATTTAAATTATTTAAAAGGTAACCTTAGCTTCTGCATGAAAAAGAATCTCAATATTTGGTAGCCTTAAAACTGTATAATGTCTAAAATAATAAAGTCCTCATTTAAAAATACAATAAACAATTTTTAAGAAACTTCAGGGTTAGGGTTGGATGCAGAGGCTCTTGCCTGTAATCCCAGTGCTTTGGGAGGCTGAGGTGGGAGGACTGCTTGAGGCCAGGAGTTTAAGACCAGCCTGGGCAACATAGCGAGACCCTGTTTACAAAAACCAAACAAAAATTAGCTGGGTGTAGTGGCATGTCTGTAGTTCTAGCTATTTGGGAGGCTGAGGCAGGAGGATTGCTTGAACCTGGGAGGCTGAGGCTGCAGTGAGCAGTGATTGTACCACCACTCTAGCCTGGGCAATGGAGCAAAGAATCCTGTTTTTAAACAAAGAAAAAAAGAAAGACATCTCAGGATTAAGTCTAGTATTTTTTAATGAATTTACTTTGAAACTACAAATAGGACAAACAGGAATTTACCATTAATTTAAAGTGTAAATGCAAGTTAAATTACACCAAAAATAAACATGCAAAACAATGTTCTTTTACATCTCTTACTAGCATTTATATTTTATTTTCCTGGGTTTTGACAACGACTTTGCTACATGTTTGAAAACACGAAGTTTATTTTGTATCCATAGGAAAAAAATATAATACTTTAGTGCTAGTCTTGGTATTCTAAAGAATATGACTGATGAATGAGTACATGTATGCATGAATTAAGAGTGAATGAATATGCAGGAGTACTCAATAGAATTGTTTCTTTTCGAAAGCAGCCAAGGAAACAGGTTGGTGTGTAAGGTTTCAGTTTTCTTATCAGCTTTCTTTGGCCTTAGCTATTCAACTCGTAAAATTGGAAAAACAAAGTAAAATGAAAGAGTGTCTGGTTTTGCTTTGGCAAGTTCCAGTCTTTTCTTCAAAGCAAGTAAACATGTTTTCAAGAATTCTTTGAATAATTGCGCTTATGTTTTCAATTGTGATGAACTCAGCTGATTCTTTGACTCAGCTTGGCAGAAACCTAATTAGGAAGTATAGTTCACTTCCTGGAGGGTGGCTCAGATGGTCAAAGCTTTTGTTTTTAATGTCACTAAACTGGGCAGACATTATTTTTTTTCTTTTTCCAAGACAGTAGGAAAGCTCTTAAAAGAGAGGGCCCTAAGCACAAATCATTGGGAAATATAACTTACATGAATTATTTTTAGTTTCCTGTATTCAAAGCCCAAGGTTCTTATGATTTCAATTTGTTCTTTGGAATTTTATTTATTTATGTATTTTTGATTTCTTTTGAGATACGGTCTTGCTCTGTTTGCCCGGGATTGGAGGGCAGTGACTCAGTTGTGGCTCACTGCAGCCTTGACCTACTGGGCTGAAGTGATTCTCCTACCTCAGCCTCCCAAGTAGTTGGGACTACGGGCATGCGCCACCACACCTAGTTAACTTTTTAAAAAATGTTTGGTAGATACTGGGTCTCACTGTGTTGCCCAGACTGGTCTAGAACTCCTGGGCTCAAGCTATCCTCCCACCTCAGCCTCCTGAAGTGCTGAGATTACAGGCATGAACCACCATGCCCAGACTATTTATTTATTTTTATAATTTAAAATGCTTTTTTTTACCTTTTCCTTATTAAAATCTAAATTAATTTAAATACATTATTAAAAGGGTAGAAAAGGATGTGAGAGATTGGTCAACACTTGGCCAAAAATCAAAATAATGTATCAGTGTTGACTTTGTTTAGACTGAGGGGATTTTTTATTGCTAGTTTATACTCTTTCTCTCTCAGTTACCTGTTTCTTTCAAATTTATTGATCAAAGACCACAAAAGACTTTTTTTTCTTTTTTCTTTTTTTGAGATGGAGTCTTGCTCTGTTGCCCAGGTTGGAGTGCAGTGGTGTGATCTCAGCTCACTACAACCTGCGCCTCCCAGGTTCAAACAATTCTCCTGCCTCAGTCTCCCAAGTAGCTGGGACTACAGGTGCCCACCACCACACTCAGTTAATTTTTGTATTTTTAGTAGAGATGGCGTTTCACTATGTTGGCCAAGCTGGGTGGAAAATCCATGTAACTGTGGGTTTATATGGGGAAGAAATTAGATCAAGAACGTAAATAATGCATCTGTTTCCTCAGTGCCACTAGACACAGATGACAGCCACACAAGCGGCGTGGAGATGCAGATGATTGAATTATGATATATTAGAACCTGCTATCTAAGTATTATGTTACCATTATCTGGATACTAATGGTAGACATTGAAGATACTATGATCAGAAGCCCAAATCCCATCCTCAAATTTGATGAGGGAGACAAAGAAATACACAGCTTATGACCCAGGATGAAATGTGGGCTTGGGGCAAGAATCCCTGTGCTTACTTGTTTGTCTTCACTTCTGCTATCACATTTAAAGGTGCAAATCAAATCTGTCTCCATTTCAAGTTGCTCTATCATCTTACAGTTTTTATTTTGTTTATATCTGCTGTTTCTAATTGGAAACCAGAACAATCATTTCATGAAAAACAAGATGATGAGAACTTGAGAGCTGTTTTCTCTCCAGGAGGAACAGATGCTTCTCATGCAACAGCCGAAATGAATTCAATATTATTTCCACAGATGGAATTGTGCATTTGAACTTCCTTAGGGAACAGGTTCTACTGTAATAGGACCTAGCTTTCAGATAAAGAGCAAGTGGCAGATAAATTCATGAAAGTACTTTCTATGCAACTGGCACCTGGAACCAATCTTTTAGGATAGAATTATATTGCTGGATTTTAAAATATTATACTTGTATAGAGCACATGGAAGAGAAACACTTTCGATGTTAGTTCAAAGTATTTCATTGGGATTTTCCACAGGAGTCAGGTGGTGAAAAGGAGAGACATTCTTGCTGAGTTTATGTTGTGCTTCAGAGGATGTAAGACAAGCAACAAATCAGCAGAGACAAGATAGGTACTAAGATAAGAAAGTCTGATACTCACCAGGATTGAGAATTGGACAAGTGCATCCTCTGTCTGTCCACGATTCTGGATATAATGTTCGCTTTCCTCGGAAAATCTTCAATTTGGTAGATTTTAAGACCTTTTTAATCTTCACATTGACCTCAACATGAGTGCCTTTATCATGAGCTGATAAAATCTTTATTTTTAGCACTGTTAACAACACAGAAGTCAAAATGCATCAAATTTTATTTTATTGTTTGAAATGTGAACACTTAAGTATGCATTTCAGAATATAACGGAAAGGTGAATCGATGATGAGAATGTGCAAATTTGCTTTAAAAATCATTAGGCATTAATTTGGAAGGAGTTGGAGGCCATTATTCTAAGCAAAGTAACTCAGGAATGGAAAACCAAACCTCATCATCTTCTCACTTATAAGTGGGAGCTAAGCCATGAAGATGCAAAGACGTAAGAATGATATAATGGACTCTGGGGACTCTGGGGGAAGGTGAGAGGGGGTGAGGGATAAAGACTACATACTGGATACAGTGTACACTGGGTGGTAGGTGCATCAAAATCTCAGAAATCACCACGGAGAACTTATTCATATAACCAAAAACCACCTGTTCCCCCAAAACTATTGAAATAAAAATAAGTAAAAAAAATCGTAGGCTCATTTTTGCACTGGCATCATCTCATTTACCTACATTAACTATAATCTTGCTTGTTAGACAGTTTCAAATGCGACTCCCTCTAATATCATTATGCTAAGAGACTAACAGCCATCTGCCTATTGCAATTGTAATCTTAAATACATTCAGCTACCACATCTAAATAGAAGAAACATGGGAAGTGGAATTATCCTGGCTTTTATTTAGGTTCTGACTCTATTATTCTTTCTTGGTTGTGTATAATGTTATGATAGAGAGCAAAATGCCACTGCCAGGATATATTTTGCATATTCTAAAGAGGTTAAATAATGTGATTTACTACTTAATATTCTTCTCCTGGCAGAAAATGCAAGCTGACTGGAGTTAGGGAAGCTGTCCCTTCACAGGTGTCCAACCTCTTGACTTCCCTGGGCCGCATTTGACCACACATAAAATACATTAACACTAATGATAGCTGATGAACTAAAAAAAAAGTCGGTGCATAATTTTTGTGATATCCTTCACCACGGATAAGCCAAAGAGCCCTCACATTCAAAGAGCTGGATACCCATGCATGGTGATCGATCTCTGGTATTCTGTGTGACTCGTGACATGATTCTATGATGCCTTCTCATTGATGAAATTGATGTGGCTGGGGATTAAGTAATGGAATAAATTGGGGTCAGGAAGAAAGTAAAGCTAAGGAACACTGGGCTGCTCAGGAACGCTAGGGAACTCTTTTTTTTTTTTTTTTTTTTTTTTTTTTTTTTTTTTTTTTTTTTTTTTTTTTTTTTTTGAGACTGAGTCTCGTTTTGTTGCCCAGGCTGGAGTGCAGTGGCACAATCTCGGCTCACTGCAACCTCCTGCCTCCTAGGTTCAGGCGATTCTCCTGCCTCAGCCTCCCGAGTGGCTGGGATTACAGGTGCCCACCACCACACCCAGCTAATTTTCTTTCTTTTTTTTTTTTCATAGGGAAGTTCTTATTGGCTTATCCACATCTCCACGGACGAGTATGTGAGAGCACCCAATCTTGACTGGTCTCATGCTCTAAGACTATAGCTGTCAGACAGCTATGTTAATGGAGTCATCACATTATAGACTTCTAAGGGGCCTTTAAAAGCTCATCCCATCTTATTTTATACACGAGGAAGCAAGTTTTAAGAGATTAAGACCGGGGGCTGTGGCTGACACCTATAATCCTAGGACTTTGGGAGGCTGAGGTGGGTGGATCACCTGAGGTCAGGAGTTTGAGATCAGCCTGGCCAACACATAGCGAAAGCCCATCTCTACTAAAAAATACACATACACAAATTATCTGGGCATGATGATAGATGCTTGTAGTCCCAGCTACTTGGGAAGCTGAGGCAGGAGAATTGCTTGAAACTGGCAGGCAGAGGTTGAGTGAGTCGAGATCGCACCACTGCACTCCAGCCTGGACGACAGAGCAAAACACCATCTCCCAAAAAAAGAAAAAAAGAAACAAATTAAGCGAACTTTCAAGTTCGCATAACTGGTTGGGCAGAGATAGAGGTTTGGACTAGAACCCTGATGAGATAAATGCATGAAGGACAGGTAGCATAGTGCCAGGCGTGTGCTAATGCGCAGTAAATGTTTGCTATTATTATTCCACTAGACTTGTAAACTCAAAGAAAGCAGGAACCCTGTCTGTCACTTCTATTGCTCAATAGGAATTTGCTAAAAAAGTAAGCAAATAAGTGTGTTTTTTTCCCCCATTAATCCAGGTAATGGGGAGGAGGAAACCAATTTTTTCCAAGTCTGTAGCGGTATTGCATTTAAGAAGGCCACAATGTTTCATTACATTATTATTTTCACTTGTTGTTTTGTTTTGAGTCTTGCTCTGTCACCCAGGCTACAGTGCAGTGGCATGATCTCGGCTTACTGCAACCTCTGCCTCCTGGGTTCAAGCGATTCTCCTGCCTCAGCCTCCTGAGTAGCTGGGATTACAGGCACATGCCACCGTGCCCGACTGATTTTTGTATTTATAGTAGAGATGAGGTTTCACCATCCTGGCCAGGCTGGTCTTGAACTCCTGAGCTCGTGATCCACCTGCCTCGGCCTCCCAAAGTGCTAAGATTACAGGGGTGAGTTACTGCCCCTGGCCTCATTACATTATTAAGAACGTTCAAATTCTTCTTAAGTAGAAAATTAATGCAGTTGTATTAAAGATTGGTTATTTGTAAATTCAGAGAGCTACCAAGTTGATGTGATAAGGAGAACTAGTTGATATTTTCACTGAACAAACTGACTTTGAACTAAATTATCACGTTCTTTGCTCTTGATAGTCAATGCCATTTTCTCTAAACTGCCTTTCCTTTATAGAGTGCTATACATTTCAAAAGTTTTCTTCTATTATTTAGTCAAGTTGGAAGGTAAAGAGAGGAAAGTCTGCATGTAATTTTAGATAAGATTTGTGAGGCTTTTACCACTTATTTTTAAAAAATCTTTTATGAGATTAAAGACAATGGTATCAAGAACCTAAATTCTTGGTTTCATACATAAATCATGACTTAAAATTTTCTCCTCATTGTAGTGTATATTTCAGGCCGTATATATTATGGACCAATAAAAAGTCTCAGGCTGGGTGTGGTGGCTCATGCCTGTCATCCCAGCACTTTTGGAGATTGACACAGGCAGATCATTTGAGGTCAGGAGTGTGTTGGCAAGATAATGATATCTATCTATCTATTTATCTATCTATATACAGGTACTTTTTTTTTTTAGATGGAGTTTCAATCTTGTTACCCAAGCTGGAGTGCAATGGCGCAATCTTGGCTCACTGCAACCTTCGCCTCCCAGTTTCAAGTAACTCTCCTGCCTCAGCCTCCCAAGTAGCTGGGATTACAGGTGTGCACCACCACACCCGGCTAACTTTTTGTGTTTTTAGTGGAAATGGGGTTTCACCATGTTAGCCAGGCTGGTCTCAAACTTCTGACCTCAGGTGATCTACCTGCCTTGGCCTCCCCATGTGCTGGGATCACAGGCATGAACCACCACACCTGGCCATCTTAATATATTTAATAGTAAATATAAAGCCATTTGAAGACAGGAAGAGCTTTTACTTAGGCAGTGCAATTTCCCTTTTTCTACAGGATGTATTTTCCTGGTATTTGAAAGATACGGGTATCTAGAGTATACAGAGAGGGTGGGGAAGAGCCCCAGGTGGACAGCTAGTCTTAGTGCCTCACAAATAGGCATCCTCTCTTTCCCCACTACCATTTACTAAGCATCGAATATGTGCTAATGTGCTACATGCTTTTCAAACATCTTATTTCATGAAGAAGATGGCATGATCCCTACTTTACAGATGAGGAAACAAGTTTGGAGAGGTTAAGTCTCTTACCCAATAAGCCAGAAATCAAACTCACATAGGTCTGAGTCCAAAGCCTATGCTCTCAACCATAGTGAAATGCTGCCTTAAACTGATTTCCACTCAGTATTACTGCATGACAAACCAACACATGAGTCATCTAAGTGGCTAGGGATGTCCCTTTTAGATGAATAAGGCAGGAAGTATCCACAAGAAAGGATTTCATATCATGACTTCTTTCTGCTCTCTGCCTATCTCCACCTTTGCTCTACAAGTATCCTGTCCTCCCCGGGACATCCACCATCATCTACATCAGGAAAATCTAGCTCAAATCCAGAACACTGTGTTTAGTGTTATTATGTAAGACTAATGCTTTGTGCTCTGATTTCTACACAATGTCATCATTCAGGCCTCCCATTTTCTTAAAAATTCTCTCAGTGTGAATAGGTTCTCAGAAGCATTCAAGGATTTCAGACTCACCATATGAATATTTCATTCCACAAAATGCCTTGGCATTTCTTAATATCTGTTCCTTACATTCACATTTACCTACAGAAAGTAAACAAAAAACGATGTTAGTTATTAGAAAAGAAAAAAAATAAGAGATCAGCCAGTGCATCCAGATAACACATTCCTTAAGCCTTAACTGATGCCTACAACATAATCTGTAAGTACCAAGGAACCAGGAAAGTCATTCGAAAGAAGTAGAGTCTCTTTCTTAGTTATCTTTCAATAAAGTATTCATCCAAGAGAAATACAGAAGGTAGAAACAGTGATACATTTCAATGCTTGTAATTGATGTTATGATAAATACAGTCCAGTGTTATTATTCCATGCTAATGGAAAGTAATAATTAAATGGAAAACCTGCAGAAAAGACAATTGTCTTTCTGCAGTTAATGTATACAACAAAAGTCAAATTAAACAAACTGAGTAGACAGTCCCTTGAAGGTAATGTCATCCAATTTTTTTGGTTATCCATTTTAAAGGTATTTATTGAGCACCTTTGGTATGCAAGGCATAGTGCTTTATACTTCAGCACCACAAAGATAAGCAAGATACGATTCTTGCCTTAAGGTTTGCAATTCAGTAAGATGAAGAAACTTCAAGTGTATAAAAAGTGATAAAGCAGTAAATGGTCTGGGAGAGGTACAACATACTTGGGTGGAAGAGTCACATATGTCTGGGAAAATGGGAAAAAGCTTATTGGCTCAAGAAGGATTTGAAAGGGACTTTGAAGAATAAGTAGAATATTTACTCCCAATAGTTTAAATTACATATTGCCACTATTATGTGTGAGAGATTTGCCAGGCCCTGTGGAAGACTTTCAAAGTGCCTTTATGCAAATTTATTTTATGTATATATGTATGTATTTATCTGTCTTTTGAGGTGCAGTGGCGTGATCTTAGCTCATTGCAACCTTTGTCTCCTGGGTTCAAGCAATTCTCCTGTCTCAGCCTCCTGAGTACCTGGGACTACAGGCACACACCACCACACCTGGCTAATTTTTATATTTTTAGTAGAGACCATATTGATCAGGCTGGTCTTGAACTCCTGACCTCAGGTGATCCACCTGCCTCTTGGCCTCCCAAAGTGCTGGGATCATAGGTGTGAGACACCGCACCCAGCCTGTACATTAGTTTATTTATAGCAGGGGACCCCAGCCTCTTGGCCGTGGACTGGTACTGGTCTGTGGCCTGTTAGAAACCAGGTCGCACAGCAGGAGATGAGCAGCCAGAGAGTGAGCCAAGTTTCATCTGTATTTACAGCCACTCTCCATCACTACATTAACGACTGAGCTCCACCTCCTGTTAGAGCAGCAGCAGCATTAGATTCTCATAAAAGCGCCCACCCTACTGGGAGCTGTGCATGTGAGGGATCTGCGTTGTGCGCTCCTTACGAGAATCTAATGCCTGCAGGTCTGAGGTAGAACAGCTTCATCCTGAAATCATCCCCTGCCCCGGCCATCCATGGAAAAACTGTCTTCCAAGAAACCACTCCCTGGGGTCCAAAAGGTTGGGGACCACTGATATATAGCATTCTCATGCTCATTTATATATCGATTTCCTCTCTAGACTGTGTCCCTTGAAGACAATGATTATGTCTTATCAGCTCTACATTTCTGGAGCCTGGCATGGATAGGATTTTCACTCTTACTGATTTAACAGTTAGATATAATTTTCCCTGTCCTCTCTCCTCCCCTCCTGCCTTCGTGTACTGCATTTCATAGGCACTGAGTGGTAATAACAGCAGTTAACACTGAGGAGCACCGACTATATGCCAGGCTGTTTTAAGCATTTTACATCGATTTACTCACATAGGTAGAAATTTGGTACGAATATAGAGAAAAAGAGTGAGCAGCCAGGTGTGGTGACTCATGCCTGTAATCCCAGCATGTTGGGAGATCGAGATGGGTGGTGGATTGCTTGAGCCCAGGAGTCTAAGACCAGCCTAGGAACACAGTAAGAACCTGTCTCTGTAACAGATTAAAAAATCGGCGAGCACGCAGGCGCATTGGGGGAAGGGTGGATTGGGCTGTGACTCTGGAATCTGCAAACCCCAGAGGGCGCCGCTTCCCAAGCCCGCCACCATGGCCGCCTACAAACTGGTGTTGATCCAGCATGGCAAGAGCTCGCGGAACCTGGAGAACTACTTCAGTGGCTGGTACGACTCCGACCTGAGCCCGGCGGGCCACGAGGAGGTGAAGCACGGCGGGCCGGCATGCTGGCTATGAGTTCGACACCTGCTTCACCTCAGTGCAGAAGAGAGTGATCCGCACCTTCTGGACAGTGCTAGATGCCACCGATCAGATGTGGCTGCCTGTAGTGGGGACTTGGCGCCTCAATGAGCGGCACTATGGGGGCCTTACCGATCTCAATAAAGCAGAAACTGCTGCAAAGCACGGTGAGGCCCAGGTGAAGATCTGGAAGCGCTCCTGTGATGTCCCGCCACCTCCGATGGAGCCCGACCATCCTTTCTACAGCAACATCAGTAAGGATGGCAGGTATGCAGACCTCACAGAAGATCACCTACCCTCCTGTAAGGGTCTGAAAGACACTATTGCCAGAGCTCTGCCCTTTTGGAATGAAAAAATAGTTCCCCAGATCAAGGAAAGAAAACGGGTACTGATTGCAGTCCATGGCAACAGCCTCCGGGGCATTGTCAAGCATCTGGAGGGCTTCTCTAAAGAGGCCATCATGGAGCCGAACCTGCCGACTGCTACTCCCATTGTGTATGAATTGGACCAGAGCTTGAAGCCCATCAGGCACATGAAGTTTCTAGAGAATGAAGAGACCGTGCCTAAAGCCATGGAAGCTACAGCTGCCCAGGGCAAGGCCAAGAAGTGAAGGGCGGTGCGCAGGCTACTGTCCCCAGGAGCACCCTCCCTGCCCATCCGGTTCCTCTGCCCCTCCCTCCTTCACACGTCACACGTCACACGGCATCGGTAGGCATCTTGAGCTGTGGCTACAGATGGGGACCACTGGCTCCCATTTTCATTTTAGCCATTTTGTCTCCTGCACCCACTCCCTTCATACATTCTAGCTAGAATAGCACTTCTAGGGCACAGGTTCTCAATCTAAGCCGTGGAAAGGCTCCCCTCGTCCAAGAGAGTTGAAGGTAGTGACTTGGGTTTTTGCGAGTGCTTTGTTTACTAAGGACGTGTGGGGAGGAACCCTGCTAAGCCATGACCAATCAGGAGACGCAAGAGGGCCTGACTGCCCCCAGGAGCCAGTCCTCTGCTCTTCTGCCGTCAGGCCACTGCCTGGGGCCCTAGTCATTCCAGTGGAAGGTGAATGTAACCTGAATGGTGATGTGACAACTGCTTCCTCCCTAACCCCAGAGGAGCTGGCTCTAGAAGGGTGGGATCAATACTGAATTTAGTTTAGTTGTTACATTTACTTTTTTTTTTTTTTTTTTTTTGAGACAGAGTTTCACTCATGTTACCCAGGCTGGAGTGCAATGGCGCGATCTCGGCTCACCGCAACCTCCGCCTCCTGGGTTCAGGCAATTCTCCTGCCTCAGCCTCCTGAGTAGCTGGGATTACAGGCATGCACCACCATGCCCAGCTAATTTTTTGTAGTTTTAGTAGAGACGGGGTTTCACCATGTTGACCAGGATGGTCTCGATCTCTTGACCTCGTGATCCACCCGCCTCGGCCTCCCAAAGTGCTGGGATTACAGGCTTGAGCCACCGCGCCCAGCTACATTTACTTTTATAAATTAAAAAAAAAAGAAAAAGTTGGGCATGGTGGCTCACGCCTATAATCCCAGCGCTTTGGAAGGCAGAGGCAAGTGGATCATCTGAGGTCAGGAGTTCGAGACCAGCCTGGCCAACATGGAGAAACCCTGTCTCTACTAAAAAATACAAAAATTAGCTGGGTGTGGTGGTAGGTGCCTGTAATCCCAGCTACTTGGGAGGCTGAGGCAAAAGAATTGCTTGAAGCCCGGAGGCGGAGGTTGCAGAGAGCTGAGATTGCGCCATTGTGCTCCATCTCAAAAAACAAGAAAAGTATAGCATATGTAAAAAATACAAAACAATAGCCCTTCTGGGGTTTCTCGTGGCAGTTGAAATAGTCCCACATGTGGTTATCAGAAAATAAGCCACTCCACATACCAATATGGCATAAGCTCCTTGACCTCAGAGGGCAGGAGTGCTTTCTGCTGTGTTTTAGAATCCCTCTGCTGCCTTGTTTCATGGCAGTGAGACGCCTCTTGGTCCTGTCCAAGTGTGTGTTTCACTGACTGATTTCTGAATCACGTTCTAGTTGCTCGGCCCTGCTACATGGGTCCAGTGTTCATTTGAGCACAACTGTACTAAATCCTTTCTCCAGATCAGGATAATAAAAGAGTTAGGTGCAATTAAAAAAGAACAGTCTAGTATGTTAGCATGTGCCTGTATTCCCAGCTACTCATGGAGGGGAGCAGTGTTGGCACTGAGGTGGGAGGATCGCTTGAGCCAGGAGGTTGGGCTGCAGTAAATTGTGATGGCGCCACTGCACTCCGGCCTGGGGAACAAAGTGAGACTCTGCCTACAAAAAAACGGAAAAGAAAAAGAAAAAAAAGAAATTGTAGTAACCTAAGTGAATAGCCTATGGCCTTTGATAATTCCACAAAGCAGAAGAGTACAGCAACTACCATGCTATAAGACCTAATGGAACTCCAAATGGCATGTACTGTTCTATACTGTTTCTCAACACAATGCGCCTCTCTTTAACCCTTCAACCTATAAGAACATACATAGGTCTATTATTTGATGATCTTTCTTTGGCTGCTTTCCAATACTACCTTTTCATATGCTTAGAGCTCAAACACTAGTATTTGTTGATCAGGCTTCAGCCCAGATGTGTTTTCTTAAAAGAATCCTGGAAGGGAAGAAAAGCTTGTTTGGTTATACTTACTGGGACATTTAAAGAGATGGGCATTGTTTACAGTTCTGCGGTACTAGTTAAGGCCAGCTTTATTATTCAGGAAGTGAAATTTTACACCTGCTGTAAGAAGTGGTAGAAATTAAGGGTGTTTTGTTGGTAAGGTGTATTACACTCCTAGTTGA